GTGGTTGGGGGCTCTAGGCGGTCTCACTGACACAAATGTCTCCATACATTATCTTAATGTTAATCATTATACCGAATTTCATGATCTCTTATTTTTCCATACTCTCTTGACCACTTTTAACTGAATTCTGCCTAAGTCCTCTATCTTTCATGTTGTTGCCTTATGGCTTAATATGGCGATATAATATGAGTCGTAGCAAGTTATGCAGTGATAATTCATTTTTGTCCATCTACTGTTTTTTGATGTTGTTCTGCATCTGTTTGATTTGACTTTTTTCAACAAAATAGAAATATATACGTGACGAAATTATAGATTCATTTTATGTCTTTGCATTAAGTTCCAAAATATTTCAGCTACTTCAAATGCGTTAGTATCGGCAAACAAATGAGTACTGTCATTGTAACAGTACAATTCACACACTTGACGTCACTACATAAAAGTAGGAGGCAAGATGAAGAAATACAGAGAACAGAAAACAACATAATTCAAAATCCTATGAGGCCATATAACAAGAAGGACAGTTTCATAAGCAGGTAGCGAAGTGTGACATAACTATTGGAAACGAGATAACTAGCAGATGCATCAACATTACGGTAATTGATTGTCGGACATATCATCTAGGGTCTTCACGTGTGGGTCTTACTTGTTTTTCTTCTTTATAGAGTCCAGGTACAAGCAGTCGTAGGCTTCGTGGATTGTAATCGTACTTGTCATTGGTATTTATATAAAAACTCATGAAGATAAGGGGTGAGAAAATAAAAAAGGGGTCAGGTAGGAAGGCTGACTTGAAGGCCGAATAACAGTGGTTAGCTAGCTTCACTTCAAGTGCGACAGTCCAACCATCACTCATTGCACACATAGCTCATGCGCATGTGCATACACATACACAACACATCTTGCTGCTTGACATCCATCGACACATGATGAGTGAATAGACGATTGACAGACTGGTGAAAACCAACATGCCAGATGATTGGAGTTAGGCACACTCGACAAGCTGAGATGTTGTGATATGATGTGAGTGCAGAGTGTGAACCTAGTGTGTACAGACAGATGTAAAGGATGAGTTATATAATTCATAGTAGTTGTAATGCAACAAGGATTGCATAACATATAATCTATGTATATTGTTATGAACATTGAATAAATGACCAGTAGTTTGTTTGAACATATGAATAAGTATGATGACCGTGATGAATTGCGTAAATTCCCTTAACAGAACGGAATATCGTGGTTCAAGACATACAAATTACGGATTCCGACTGGATGGACGAGTTGGTGGATCGTTTTCATTCGTTATAATCTAGAAATAACAATAATAAATGTAATGTATTTGCGCAACACATTTCGAACTATCTGATCACATAGTACTTGTCATAGGTATTTATATAAAAACTCATGAAGATAAGGGGTGAGAAAATAAAAAGGGGTCAGGTAGGAAGGCTGACTTGAAGGCCGAATAACAGTGAAAATCAAGAGAGCGAAAAAATAATAGTACATCGAACTTGGTTTTCAATAGTTGAATTTACCAAGGAAGATTTAATGTGACAACTAATTGTTTATGAACACATAAAGGTGGTTTCAACTTCCTTATAGCTAAGGCTTAAACAAATTTCAGGATCCCTCCCCAACATGTTTTGTAAATAGGTGTAACGGAAGTGGCTACATCAATCTGTCTCAACGATATGTTTGACGATCGAAGAACTTGGACGTCTGCTACCAACATTTATAGGTTCAGGTGATTTAATTTGCTTCTGAAGCCACTTCGGAATATGTTCAGGCTACTTCATTTCTGAGCCTTCACCAGTTTATGTGGCTGGAACATGTGTTATGTATTTCTAGTTATAGTCTGCCCTACCTCTAACTTCCATGCTTAAGACTTGGCGACACCGTAACATATGGCCTAATATACGAAGATGACAGTGGTTGAACACATGGAGCAGAACTTTACCCTTCAGCAGGTTCTTGAACACTGGGATATTTATCAGTGATATAAGTGTAAAACTTGGGCACTGTGGTAGGATGTAATTCCTGTATTAAATTTGTTTATATGATATATATCGCACAGCGATACAGTATTATCTACTTGATAACATTTCAAACATAAATTTCTGCTCATAATCATATCAATGTAATCACACTACTTTTGACAGCTAATTTTTATAGTCCTGTCGCTTCATATTCTTTGTTTTTATTAATAGTAAAATTCCCTATATCTCATCATCATTCCTATTACATGTGTTGGGTGTAGATTCGATGAAGAAAGATTCAGTAATCAATCTCTCTTTCCGCCTAATGATTTTGAACTTAAGTAGAGTGGTTGTACCCCACCCTTTTGTGTGACTGCGTGCTAACACATATATTGCAATAGCGAGTTCTTTCTAGATTATTGACCTTGTTTGGGTCTGTCATTCTATATTTAGCTAAATTCCAAGGTTCCACTAATTTAACTGACCCGGATCGGCTAGTTTGATCTGTGTACTTGACCTCACAGTCATTGCATAAAATTTGATAGATTAGATTATTTTGCTTAATTGGATCTATCGGATCCTTAAGTTGACAAAGGTTATTTCTGAATGAGTTTGTAGGTTTAGATGTCACCCTAATTCCAACCATGCTGAGAATTGTGCGTAAATTTTCTGATGTTCATTTCCTACATGGTAACATAATAGAGGCTTGGAATTTATCTATACTCGTGTTGTAGCTATTATTCATATTCACATTACTGTTGTCATTTTGCTTCTTTTATATTCGTACGGATTTTTTAGATAAGCTGTATAGGATAATTATTACTGATTAACGTTTTTGTATGTTTCGATTTCTTTGTCTAAGTCCTTTCACTGACTAGTGAGACTTTTAGCTCTATCATTCAGACATTTGACTAGGCTCGCCTTAATTGATATTGGATGAGATGACCTGAAGTTTGGATGCGTGTTAAAATGTGTCGGTTTCCAGTAGATGGTAGTATCCAAATCACTTTCAGTCCTTCGTTTTATTCTACAATCCGTTATAAGTAAGTCTCCTTGTTCATTTTCTACCTCGTAAGTGAATCGGATTGCACTTATTGGTGAGTTTTTATGTGCGAGAAAATTGCCGATATGTTCCGATTTCAACACAGTAAGTGCAGGATTAAACGTTCGTAAAACTATGTTTTCCCAACTGTCCATAAGTATGCCTGCTATGAATGGGGATACTGGTGATCTCATTGCTACTCCGATAGAAACAAAGAATATGAAGTGACAGGACTATAAAAATCAGATGCCGAAAGTTGTGTGATTGCACTGATATGATTATGAGCAATAATTTATACTTGAAATGTTATGAAGTAGATAATACTGTATCACTGCGCGATATATATCAAATAAACAAGTCTAATATAGAAATAAAGCTGGCCGACACTTGCCATATTTCTCCACCTGAAGGTGTCATTCGACTCTGTCGATCATCAGCTATTGTGGCAGTGTCCGACTGTGAAAGGGATGCCGAACAAGTTTGCAACACTAATCGAAGCTCTTTACTCGAGCTCATCCAACCGCGTAAGGGTGAATGGTGCACGAACGTCTTGATCATTCTTTTGTTTCAAACCTGTGCACTTATCCTGTTTTACATATATTTCCGGAAAGATAATATGATCAACACAACTGAAACCAGTAGTCAAAAACATGATATAGTTTTTTGTATCTTGCTTTACTGTAATAGATTCTTCTGCATCGCACTGCTAAGCTAACGATTACTCAATTTGTCATTCATTGCATGATCAACTGAGTCGATGTGTTTTCACAATCTCCTTAACTGACCTGCACTCAGGATACACTGTTTGCTGTCTCAGTAATACGTGAGAGATACTGAAAAAGTTTTACTCATGAAGTCTTGTTAGCCTATCATAGCACTATCAAAAACCGTATATTATTAAAGATTAGTTAAACTTGTACATATAGCATCAAAACAATCTTTCTCTGTGGTAATAATGAAAATGTTATTATTACGATCATTATACAACAGAATGTTACTTACTGTACATTCAAAACAATCGCCTGTGATCATGTGCTACTGCATACCGTGCTCGTTCAATTCACACTGATACACCTGTAGTTGAAAATTCAAGAACACCAAGTTTTTGCTTTGGTCTCCACCAACACTATAACCATCATGGTAGAATAGGCCAATTGTCTTGTTAATCGCTTTTGCTTCACATAATGATTTCGTTAGCTTAGTTCACTTATATCTTTTATATTCTGTGATTCATCTTTGTAACAGAGATGTCCATGCAGCATTAACATTTATGATAATATTAAATTCTTTTTCACTGTCTGTATCTTCAACACATGAGGAAAAGGATAGACGGTTCTGTCTACTATCGCTCCTATATCTATCATATCAACGTAGTTGGTTCTGATCATATCGATTACCAAACGAAAAACAGCATCAAGTAACATGCATCTGTTCAATACGCATTCAAACTTTATCCTAAATATTATTTTGTTGACATTTTAGTGATCATATCTGGTATGACATTTTCCCTAACGCACTCAACTAAACGAAATTGATATCGATTAAAAAAAGGTTAAAGGCGATCAGATTAAAATTTGGCATCAGTCCATTAAGTCTCTGACAGGTTATATGATCTATGTAGGATAATTTCGGGTTGGGTTCTGCTTGACAGCTATATTCGATGGTTTGTGTCGATATGGATCAGGGCCGATCTCCAGCGTACAGATGGGTGAGCGCATTATTTTCAGCATTAATCGCTACGCTACGTTTCTATTTCCTTTCTGTGACTTTTATCACATTACTCCTATTCATATCTTTTTGTGCCCTATCACTTTGTACCTTGATGCCGGTGATGATGGCATCAAATTCTGTTTCGTCACTGTCTGTTTGTGTCCGTCAGTTACTTGATCAAGCTGTATAATGTTATAACAAATGTTGTTTCTTAACTAGAGTAAGTAGTACACAAAACAGAACAATTAAACTTTTTGTTTCCTTCTCTCACCATACAGGCTGTTTATTACACACTCTGGACAGAAATTGATTCCAATCGCCTGAGAAGAGAAATCGATTCAGTTCAAGCTAATCGACTGTCAAAGCACAGTGCAGAAAGTAAACTGACCCGATTCAGTATAATTCCACTTTGTTTCTCTATCACTTTCCATTTCAGTAATTTATTCCTAGTACTTGAAAAGTTTATGAATTCAACTAAAAAAGTATGCACGAGACTCAAACACTTCCCCTGGAACAATTCGCCATAAATAATTAATGATTTTTTTTATGTTCTGGGTTTGTGATAACTCGCAAGCCTTATTGCATATTTAGCTAGTTAGCTTTTCTACTATCGGGTTAGATTCTATATAATTGTCGATTTATATAGCACGACCCATGTTTAAATGTTTTGCATGTTTATATGCTACCGATTACGCGAAATAGTATCCATGGTTGTACAGAAAATCAGTAGATTTTCAAGCGTTTCGCTTTTCATACTCGCAAAGTATGACACTAGAAAGCTGATCTCTTTATTTGAAGAACTTAATCTGGAAAAGTCAGTTACTCGATCAAGCCAGGCTTTATAAATTATTGATGCTAAATGTGGTTGGTGTAAAGTTTGCAGATTGTAACTCTAAAGCCTAACTCGCAAACAGCATGAGTCATAGGTGATTGCTTCTGCCGTTTATTCTGATACAACGAATTAACTATCTGGTACTCATTATCACATTGATGATTTGAACTGTATGCTATTCTTAAACTCACCAGAAAATAATTTCCTTTTCAGTCAGTCACTATCTAAATGAAACCTGACTTAGCTGTGTGATGATCCGACTCGCAGCAAACTTGGATAGTGTAATTAGATAAACTTGGTCTTCTAATTACACCATCTAGGTTTCAAAAGTGAAGTGGGCATTACCAGTGCATAGCAAAGACAGCTCTTTCAAACCCGTAGTCGTATCAAATGAAGATGTATGTAAGCTACTGGCATTTGCTGCCATATTCCACCCTTGAAAGTTGACCCTCCAACATATATCGTAAAGACCTCGACGAAGAATGGATCGATAGTGAAATGAATAGGAACAGTAGATGATATCCAAAATGTTATCCAGTAAATGATACTGTTTCACTGTGACGATTGTTATAAACAGACTGAGATGGACGTGATTTTGTTTTCATTAACATATATTGTAATTGTAAGTACTGTTATGATGATATCTTTTCTACGTTTTACATAGTTTTGAGTCTTTCCTTTTCTCTTTTCAGAGCCTTGGGATTCTACATTCTTGAAGTATTCAAAAGATAGTTCAGATCTAGTATTAAATAGCTCACATCTGAAAAATGCAGACCACTTGCTTCTACCTCATGCAAGCCTCCTTACTGCTATAAATCCAGTTAACACTGAAGCATATCAGCTTGATCAAAATACTGCCGACACAAGGTTTATAGCTAAATCGGAACCAGAATATGATCATCGCTGGCTAACTATACGTCAAAGTCATACATATAACTACCTGCCAAACAGCTTGTGTCAACATGAACAAGCTGAGGGTACGGTTCTTGCTGTTGCTGTCGTTGTCCCAAAACCAGATGCTTTAGAGAATCAGAAAAAGCTATACGAGTGGGAGGTGTCGAACAGAGTTGATCGTTTAGACTCACAAGACTCCTTCAGACAAAAAAGAAATGATGAACGTTCTTGTTTCTTACAAGTTCCATTACCAGCATCATCCTCACTAATACGTCTGTGGTTAAATGAATTACAGTCAAAGAATCCGTGTTTTAATAATGCTACCTTGGTGATTCGAGTCCCGATGAATGTGGAGAGTCGAACAACTCCTAACATGGACGGTGATATTACCAGTGATAATGATCTTCATACAGAGGATAACCAGAATGATTTGAAGACGCAGAAGTCATATAATTAGCGTAAAATGACTAGCCTTTAACCAGGAAAAATAAGTTACCACTTTAAATTAACTGTACATAGCTATTTTTAAGTCCATACAACTTACTCTTTGTTAATTTGCTTGAAAATGTGTAGTACTTGTGCATATTTGTTTATTTATATTATAAAATCGATGAAATAATACTCCTTCCTGCAAATATTTGTTAAATGAATGCTTATTGGCACATTGATCGGTCTTAGCCCCATCACTTATTCCCTAACCGATAGACACTACTTTGACTTAGTGGTTGGACTTGAATACCACAATGATCCAGGGCACTTCACTGGATAGAACCCTTGTTCCTTGAGGTCTTACCATGCCAAAAAGTCTATTAGCTGGTGGTAAGATGAAAAGCAGTTATTGTGTAAATTGGTCTGATAGTCATCCAAGCGGTACTGGACAGGGTATGATGGTAGTAAAGCGTTCCCTGCATATAGCCAGCAATGCCATGTTAGAAAACGTTGATCCTCAAGTTGCACACTCGTGCCTGCACCCATGGTCTTCAGGTGGCGGTGGCATGGGTACTCTGTCTGGCGTTAGAACAACCAACGATCCTCAAAAGGCTTAGTGCCACAGGCTTCAAGCAGAAGCATCATGGGCTCTGTAGTCACCCAAACCTATTACCTTTCTTAGGCACCCTGCAGAGAAAACTTCAAAGGTGTGGGCAGCAGGGACCAATCAATCGACTCTACGCTTCCAGCAGTATACAAAACCTAATCAACTATAACCTACCATAATTCCTACTGTCCTTTCATTGCATTGACTTCCTGATACCAATATAAAACATGTTGCAACTTTGTCAATCTCTCACTGCTACTATTGCCGACGATTTAAGCTATCCCGACATCATTCCTAGGCTTTCGGTTTCATACTGCATCCTTATGTCCAAACCCTATGGCTTGCCATAACTCCACAATCCGAGCCATGGATGTATACTGTGTTTCTAAAACAAGTACATATAACCCGAGTTCGGTTATTCATTTGACCTTACCTGACCATTGCAGTGAATCTTCAGAATCCACCTTACGGGTATTCGGAGACCCAGTGATTAGCTCTCGTGGACTCCCCGGTGTAGGGATAGCATTGAGTTGTATGAACGGAAGTGCACACCTCGAATACCTATCAACATCCCTTTGTGTGTTGTTCCAGTGGACAGATCTGCAAGAAGTAGTGAGGATCGTGAGACAAGTTGGTGCCTATTCGTAGTCTTCATCTACCAACTGCAATTTGAATGATGCAAAGGATAAATTCTATGAGGAATATACTTGCTTTCTATGTATTAATAACCCAGTAGTCATCCAACAATGAAGTTTATATTATATCAAGTACTCCGGGAATCTGACACTTCGACCTGATCGTGATTTTTGTTGCGCCGGTGGTTGTTGTATCTGTGCCTTACCAGGCGCATCGTCAAGAATTTCGATAATTGGGCTATCCGTCGGTCGGCTGTAGCGAGCTGAAACGTCACTTGTGATGGGGTCACCTTCGAAATAAGCTGGTTTCAAACAGTCGATACTAACAATATCTTCACATCCGTTTCGCTCGATTATACAGAATTTCTCGTGTCGCTTGATCACTTTGAATGGCCCATCGTAGGGTGGTTCAAGTGGTCGACGAACGGCGTCGTGGCGAATGAACATGTGTGATGTCTTGTAAAATGGGGTGAACGAAGACATTAGTCGTTCGAGGTCGAACCGGAGAAGGCCCAACTGAACGCATTGCGTTTGTAAGCCTAGTCACGTACGATGCCCTGTTGGAAACATGTTTGGAAATTGAAGGGGAAACAAACTCACCTGGTAGGCGATGAGTGATTCCATAGATGAGTTCTGCAGAGGCGCATCCAACATCTACTTTCAACGCATTACGAATACCTGGTGGGACTAGAGGCAGAGCCTCGGTCCACTGAGGTATGTTTGCAGCGCCCACGGTCGGTGGTTACGTGAGATGGACATCCAAAGTTCGTGATCTATCTTTCAATGAAAACACGAACTACTGTTTCAGCAGTAATATCCTTAATAGGTACTGCTTCTGGCCATCGCGTAAAACGATCCGCACAAGTGAAAAGGTAGAGGTCCTACAATATCTGTAGGGACGTAGTCGAAACGCATGTCTGGGGCTAGAAAAGAACCTAAAGGGCTTTTCGTGTGTCGCGTGACTTTGCACTTCTGACAAGCTAAGCACGACTGAGCCCACTCCTCAACGTCTTTGTTCATCCCAGGCCAGCAGAAACGTTGTGCGACAAGCCTAATGGTGGCTCGTACACCTGGATGAGAGAGTTTGTGCAACGTACTGAAGACGTTGCGTCGACAACTCTTCGGAACTATAGGGTGTGGTTGACTAGCAGAGACACCGCACAAAATTGTTTCCTTGTCTGATCCTACTGGACACGGTCGTAGCTTGATGCAGCTCAAGGTCTTTTTTTTGACACCGAGCTAGTTCAATTAGATCAACGCCCTGGATACGATCTACCGAAGCTATTCGAGATAGTGCATCGGCTACGGAGTTATCTGCTCCAGAAATGTGACGGATATCTGGCGTGAGCTGGGAAATGTAATCCAGTTGTCATGACTCACGAAGGGAGTATTTGTCAGACGCCGAGCTAAGTTTAACAGCTTGTGGTCTGTAAAAATAATTAAATCACGACCTTCCATCGAATGTCAAAAGTGGCGTACAGAACAGTACATAGCTAGGAGTTCTTTACCGAATGTACTGTATCTTGTTTCCACGTCTTGCAGCCGCCTCGAGAAAAAGGCTAAGGATTGCCACTGGTTGTCAGTCAACTGTTGTAAAACTGATCCAGATGTTGAGTCAGATGCACCAATAGCAATAATCAAAGGAGCGTTGGGGTTGTGATGCATAAGCATGATTGCGACTGAAATGGCTTCCTTGGGTTCAGAAAAAGCTAGTCTAGCCACGTTTTCCAGAGTCACGAACGTCGTGGTCCCTCGAAGTAGGTCTGTTAGTGGTCTCATGACAGAAGCACAGTTGGGAATAAACCTTCGGTAATAACTTACCGGTCCACTGAAAGTGCGGAGCCGCTTCACAGTGGCCGGTTGTGGATAGTTCGTGATAGCCATCACTTTATCTCTCAATGGGCGTATACTTTTGTTGTCAACGGTATGCCAAAGGAAGCTGTTTGATTCAACTCCCATTTCACACTTCTGCAAGTTGACTGTGATAGCATGTTTTTTGAGTCTTCCGAATACGAGGTCCAAATGTTTAAGGTGAGTTTCCCTACCTGGACTCGCAATGATACAGTCATCGATGTAGACGTGGACGAAAATATAAACCACGGAAGACATCATCCATAAAGTGTTGGAATGTTTGTGCTGCATTCCGAAGACCGAATGGCATGCGCAAGAATTCAAACAAACCAAAAGGAGTTATAATGGCTGTTCTCGCGATATGTTTTGCTGCCATAGGTATCTGATTGTATGCTTTGACCAGATCGATTTTGGAAAAAATGTTCATTCCACATAGCATCTCAGTCAAGTCATAAACGTGAGGTATCGAGTAGCAGTCCGGTGTTGTTTCGGCGTTTAGCCTTTGGTAATCACCGGTTGAAGGCCAATCGTTGCTATCCCTTTTGGGAACCATATGCGATGGCGATGCCCAAGGACTACTTGAAGGTTTGAGAATGCGCAATTCGAGCATGTGGTCGAATCCACTCTCCGCCGTTCTGAGCTTATCAGGGACTAGACGGCAGGCTTTGGATGCCACAGGTGGACCTGTGGTTGTGACGTGGTGCGTAACATTCCTGGTTGTGCACGGAAGAGTGTGCTTCGGTTGCTGCAACTCTGGATATTTCTCCAAAACTGCTTAGTAGGACGCGTCGCCTGATTGTTTAGTTCTAATGACGGCTAAACTCGGACCTACGTAGGTGGTGCCGCCAGTGGATAACTTTGTGTTGTTATCTATCAGTCGTCGACGGCGAGCATCGACGATTAGACCGTATTGGTTCGGCAAATCTAAGCCAATGACGGGCATGGAAACGTCAGTGAGGGGGAAAATCCAGTGGATAGGTTTACGTAAACCTAAGTTGAGGTAGGCGCACTATCTCCCAAATGTTGCGATTGCCCCGCCGTTAGCTGCTTGAAGATTGAAGGATGGGTCGTGATGACGCTCCTTTGTCGGCGCGGGAGGAACGCTAACTTCTGCGCCGGTGTCGACGAGGTAGCGAAGTTTCGTTTTTATGTCGGTGACGTAGAGCAAACGGCTGTTTCCGCCTGCTACGGTTGCCGCTAAAACATGTGCCAGCGTGGCCGTTTCCTGAGTTTGTGTCCGTGTTGAAACTGCATGGCTTCCGGCATTTTCTGGCTTCGTCTCCGTAAGTATTATGAAACCAGCACCACTTCGGGTTTTTCAGCCTGTTAGTTTAGTTTCTGGACAACCACGTGAGTTGCCGCGAAGCACTAAGATGAGTTTCTGTGAAATGCTACGTAACCTAGGACTTCGAGCTCGTAGCGACTGTTTAACAGAGTTGCACAGCTTGGTCACCTCTGAATTCTGCCTATCAGGTTTATCGTAGACAGAATATACGTTGGAGACGGGTCTGCTAGAGATCTCCAGCATTTTATCTGCCGAGGCTGCCAGGTCATCAAGAGAGGCTGACTGCACTGTCACCAAACAAGGCTCGCACCGGTTGTGGTAGTTTCGAGAGAAATACTTCTCGGAAAAGGCCACTGTCGAATGTTCGTGCACCGATTACTTCTCGCATGCGTGCGAGGACTTCAGTAGCTGATTGGCTGCCTAGCTCGATGTTACGAAGCAATTCATCTAGGCGCTGGCTATCTGTGAGATCGTTTTCTTCAAGAGCGCGGCTTTGAGAAGCGCGTAAGGATCACGTAATTCAGGACTAAACATATGTGCTGTAACACGCCTGTTTATTTCCCGCGGTAGTGACCGTATGACTGCAAGAAATCTAGAATGAGGATCTGCAACTCCCTGTTCTCAAAAATCTGCCTCGGCATACAGAAACC